TCCTCCCACCTGCGCCTCCAAAGGCCCCCGCCCCCCGCCCGACTCCACATCCTGCGGGGCTCCTCAGAGCCCCGCCCGACCCCGTGATGGGGGCCCCCTGCAGGGGACCGGGGGCGGAGAACGGGCGGCCACCGCGGTGCTGGCGTGGGGCGTCCTCCTCCCTCCTCCCTCCGGTTTCCTTCCCTCTCCTCCCTCCTCCCTCTCCCTCCTCCCTCCCTCCTCCCTCCTCCTCCTCCCTCTCCCTCCTCCTCTTCCTCCTCTCCTCCTCGTCCTCCACTTCCTCTCTCCTCCTCCTCTCTCTCCTCCTTTCCTCCTTCCCTCCTTCTCCTCCCTCCTCCTCCTCCTCCTCCTCCTCCTCCTCCTCCTCCATCTCCTTCTCCTCCTCCTCCCCTCCTCCTCCTCCTCCCTCCTCCCTTTTCCTGGGGCAGAGCGAGATGCACGGCACGGCCGGGTCCAGCGCGGCGGGCGGAGCACCACCGCGAAGCACCACGCCCGAGACCCCCGACCCCCCCACCCCATCCACGATCGAGGCTCGGTGCCCAGACCCCGTCGAGAAGGGGAACGAAGAATGACATAAACACCCAAACTCGGACCTCCATGGAGGGGGGTCCAGTGCGGGCAATACTTATATCCACATCCAGTTCGTCTTGGATTCTTGGGTTCTCTTGCCCAGAAACCGTAGACGCACTGGATATGGATAAAAATCGGACCCCAAGAGGCTTGATTTTATCCATATCCAGTGCGCCTCGGCGTTGCGGCACCTCTTCCCAAAAAGTCCACGGCGCTCTGGATATGGATATAAGTGCTGCCCGCATCCAGCACCGATCCGAGAAGTCCACGCGGACCTCCGAGTTTTTATGCTCACGCCATTCTTCGTTCCCCCATCGAGTGCTGGAAGGCTCACGACGGGAGGCCCTTCGCTCGGGGAGACATCGCGGTCATGGGGAACGGGTCGAGACCTCTGGGGGTCGACGCCATGAAAAGATCACGACGTCGCGGGTCTGGGCAGGTGCAGGGACCAGGGTCCGAAGCGGGGAACGAAGCGTCAACGACGCCGTGAGGAGAAACGCCACAGGCCTCCGACCCCCCTCCCTCCAGGATCCAAGCTCCGTACACGGGGTCGCTGGCTAACCGGGCCAGTGGTTCCCCCCCCCCCCGAGAAAAAGCCGGTCCTGCTTCGAACCATTATGCCATGCTCTATCCCTCGTTCTGTCCGCCTGGGTTTCTTGCGGCCCCCGGTTGCCCCGCAAGCAGGGCCCTGACGAGATGCGAGGCTTCCATGGCCAGAGCACTCCAGGAGGGGAGCCCTGGAGGGCCCGATGTGGCAACAACACCCGTCGTGGTTTTGCTCACGACGCGCCCGTCTGTCCCAGACCCCGGACATCCTGTGTTGCCCAACGCGTGGATCACAGGCCTCGCGACCCCTCCCCGGGGAGGGCGTTGACGTCCCAGGTTGTCTGTTCACAGTCCTGGGGTGAGACCAGGACGCCCAGACGCCAGAAAGTGCGAGGGACCTCTGCCTCGATGGTTCAGGACGCTGGCGCGCCGATCCGATGGAGAAGCAGCTCGGACAACCTTCTTGTCCGCGCCGCGCCCGACCAGAATCTGCTCAAGTCAAGCATCCCGAACACTCCCAGAGGCCATCATGCGGGGCGTTAAGAAATGTAGGAAGAGACGTGCACCTTTCGTGCCCCTGTGGGGTCCCAGGGGGTCGCTTTAGGGCCCTTTTCGGACACAAAAGCTGCACCTTTTTCCACCTACCCATTTCGCGCACACCCATTACTCGACGCCCGATCCTGGCCGGCTTTCCAACGAGAACCTCCAGGAAAGCCCCCCAACAAAACACGATGTCCCCTTCGCCGTCGTCGAATGGGGTGGCACGGGACGCAGCGTGGGCGGCCTTCTTGTCCGCGCCGCCCGCCTTGCTCCTTTCGGTCGCGATCAGAGGGAGGTTGGCATGAAGGAAACGGATCCTGAACGGATGAGTCACTCGAGCCAACGGCCTTCTTCAGTTGGACCTAGAC